TTTATAACATTAAAACATATTTAACTACTCTGTCCAGCACGTATTTCGAACAATTTTCTTCAATATTTCAATGGTATAACATACAGTTTATCCAAATAAGTTTAGAAAATAAATCTAAATTATTTTTATGAAATTACAATGTGATCCAATAAAAAAATACCAAAATTTCATAACGTAGATCTATCTATTTAAATAAACTATTAGTTGAGTTCATGAATCAATTAAAGCTAGACCACCATGGTAAACCTGGAAGAACTATATGTCCGTTTCGTTCTAGGATCGGACTCCACAGCAGTGCGCATCCACGATCCCTCTCGCGGGATTTGAACCTAGGACCCTCGGTTTCGCGTGCAGTCGCATAAAATCTAGACCACTGAGCCGTTATCCAACGGTATTATTATATTTAACTTCAACAAATCCACGAAATTGCGCCACCGTCCACCATTGTCTTAAGTGAGTTACTATCTCACGACAGAACCGGTTGAGATTAATATACTGTTTTGAATGTGTCGGTTTACGGTATATGGTCAGACTTAGACTACCATTAAAATTTCTTTTAATTAAACAGTCTACGAATGGCAGTTCACTATGTTCATCTTTCTTTTCGAAAATAAATATAATGTGTTCTGAGATCGTGTTTATGTGTTGAGAGGAATTTTTAAGAAGAGTTTTTCTAATAATGACGAACGTGTCATCCGCATATCTGAGCCAGATTCGTGGTCTGATAGTGCTGGCAAAAATAAGCGACTCAGTATGGGACGTATATAAATCTTCACAAATCAAAGATACTGGAGATCTCATGGCTACTCCGTTTGTTTGAGTACACCAAGTCTCTTTGAAAGTGAAAAAATTTGAATTTAAGCATAGTTTGAGGGATTATATGATTGAACTAATGTTTAATGGACATCTTCTAGATAGAGTATGACCATTGTCTAGTTGCGGATAAGGACTCCTGAAAAGTCCTATACTAATACGAAAGAGTTATTTAGTACTTCCTGGTTTGGAAAGGTTGTCTTAATAACGTCTGTCAGTTCTATAAACTACAAGCAACACCAGTATTTATTATTATTATTATTTATTTATTATTTATTATTAACATTTTACAGTTAATCGAGAAGGTAAGTAAATAGAATTCATATAAAAACTCAGTATTGACGACTTAACCATTAAAAATTTATAGTGACAATTCAATCCTTTAATGCATTAACTAGACATTATAACAAATGTCAGGTTTTCCAAAGCAATGTTGTTAGGATCATTGTAAAAAGTAAGTCATTATTGCCAATTGAAATCAGTTCATCACTTATTACGCTCCAAATTGTTCAGTGAAAAAAAATTATAAATTCCACTGCTCTTTATCCTTTAATTCGATATACTGTATTAGATAATTTGTTAAATTTAATAAATTACTTCACTAATAAAGTAATATATTTGTAATACCCCAATGAGTAGAAAATTGGATTTGGTTATTTATTCTCTGAAAAAGTGACTTACACTAAGTCACGAAACGTCAGAAAATCCAATTTTCTACTCATTGGGATATTACAAATATATTACTTTTATTTATAACAATCAACCCAATGCTCAATTTATTCGAAATTATCAAATCAAACCTTGGTAATGACACCTATAAATTACTTCACTATCCATATTCTAAAATTATATAAGCAGTATATTCACATAGTGTGATGTGTGCTGCTGATGTCGATAGATATAAGTAGTGTGTATCATCAATCGGAAGTGAAATGCCTGCTAGTAGAATGTTATGAAGATCAAAGTGAAAGAGAAAGAGAACAAAGAATGATTGCTGTGAAAACGAAGAAACAATGAAGTCTGAGATAATTGATTAACATTTTGTAAAAGAAATATTTAGTGTATGATTCTCGGACTTTATTAATATGTTCTGTAATTTTGTATTCAAACACATCCGATTATCCCCACTTGTGTTCTCGTTCACTACAGTAGTAGTGTTATTGTTTACATAATTCATTCAAAGAAAATAAAAGCCAGTTTATAAAAAACTTTCTCTATAATATACATGATTTGTGGATGACTGTTAAAGTGTTTTTATGCTTCCGCTAATACATTAAATTTAAATCTATATTACTTTGAATAATTCATTTCTACTATATCCATCACAGTTTACAACATCAACAATTTTATTTTCAGAAGGGCTTTTTTGAATATTATAGTAATTTCAATAGTTGAGATCATGAGTCAATTAAAGCTAGACCATTGTGAAAAACCTGGAAGCATTGGACGGCCGTTTTGTCCTATTGTGTGATGCCGGCTCAGTGTTCTAGTGATTAAGCACTCGCGCGCGAGACTGATAGGTCCTGGGTTCGAATCTTGCGTGGCGAGGTCATGGATGCGCACCGCTGAAGAGTCCCGTCATAGAATGAAATGGCCGTTCAGTGCTTCCAGGTTTTCCACAATGGTCTAGCTTTAATTGATTCATGATCTCAACTATTGAAATTTTATTTTCAATGAAAATAGAAACATTTAAAGAATAATTTAGTCATTCAATAATCAATGTAGAAAAAAAAACAAATGAAAACATTTGTCAAAACAATTTTTTAAAGAAATTCCATATAAAGCGTTCAATTTAAATTGCCTAAAAGACAATCAAAGGAATTGAACATCTGTTTTATTTAAATTTAAACATTTGGATTCATTCACTTGATGTTTGCTAGGTTGAGATAGAAACATGAGATAATGTTTTAAATCATTATGATTTTTGTATAAGATCTTAATTTGAATTTCATTCATTCAGAACATATAACATACATTTCATATAGATACTATGTAAAATCAATCATAAATCGGTTTTTTATAATTTTGATTATATTTGATATTAGTTGACTGGTTATCAATGTATTTCATTCATATTGTGGTGCGTACTACTTATATTGATGTAAGTAGTATATGACGTGAGTTAAAGACGTAATGTCTGGCAGCAGAAGATAGGGGAAGATCAGGAAATGAAGAGCGGCAGCACAATGCAATTTGTAAGAATGAAATGTGAGACAATGGATTGATAATTGCAACAGAAACAGTCCGGTTTGATATGATGGATTGATATTTTGCAAATTAACGATTTACTATATGGTTTTTCTATTTTACCAAGTAACTCTGTAATGGTAAGCTAATTACATCTTCGTTCCTGCGTCGTCTATACCTTAATGTTTTCTATTACAAGTATCATTTTCGCGGTTATAGTAGTAATTATATTGTATGGATGCATTCTAGTACATTAATCTGTTAAAACTACATGCATCTTCAGCTGATAAATAAAAGTACGATTGTAGTGAACGGGAACACAAGTGGGAACAATCGAACACGTTAGTAAAATCTGAAAACCATACACTAAAAAAATCATTTGCAAAATATCAATCAACTGTCTCAAACTTGACTGTTTTATTGCAAATATCAGTCAATCGTTTCAGACTTTACTGTTCTTTCATTTCCACACCAAGCATTCTTTGTTCTCGTTCTCTTTTTTTGATCTTCTTAACCTTCTGATTTCAGACACTTCGCTTTCGATTGATGATATATACTACTTATATCTGTCAACATAAGTATTACACACTACACTACATTCTTTGTATAAAATAAATAATTAATAACTTTTTTGTCTAAAAGTAGTGTCACGTAACGTCTACTTCAATTGATGGAGTACCATTTGTTTTTGTATAGTTTGTAAATTATAACGATGATAAATAATTAAAGTACGGTCCATAATTTCATCACGATATTCTCGAAATATTTAACTCTTAAAAACTACTTCAAATAGAGATTGAGCCATTCAACCTAATGTTTATGACATTTCGTTAAATTGATAGATTTTGCTTATTATTAACTACATGAGTATAGTTATGATTAACGTCTAAGAATCTATTTGAAAACACTTAAAGTTACAAACAATATTACAGATTTAAAGTAATTAGTCCCTTTGATAAATTTCGACGTGTTACAAATCACTTATGATACATATTAGACTAATAACATTCAAATTCAAAGTTAGGTGAGTGTCAATTAACATAAAGTATAAGCTTCTCTGAACGTTAATTTTACTTTAAGGATGCTGAACTTAGGTACTCTCAAGTTAGGCACATTCTATTGTGTCATGATCAGGACATAAATTCAACTCATAGTTTTCATGAATGGATGATTTGTTCTGAAGAAACATTGAGATTTAGTTAACAATCGATATTCATATATAGATATAAACATATAGATAATAGTACCCGTTCATTATACTACAAACTGGTTAAACTGTAGAATTTCCGATTCAAACTGGATGATATGATTTAGGCATTGGATTAGTTTACAATAATTCTTACTTATAGAGTCATTCAATTTATGTTATAATCGTTTAATTCAATAATTTGTTATTTATCTCACCTTAAGTTTGTTATATCCATTCACTTTCTTAACTCTATGCTTGACAGTTGAGACAATCAAATGTATATTTATTTGATCACGAATAGAATACCTACTTTTTTAATCTAAAACTTACAGTAATACTGTAGTGGACGCTACTCACAAGATTGTTTGTAAGTTGTTTGTTGTGGAACATGGCTTCAAAGTTCGATTAGTTGTCAAACGGAGAGAAGTGTTTCAATCAACCTAGGCATAACACTTAGAGATCAGATAAGAAAACACCAAAAAATGTAAATGAATGATTGAAGGTTATGTATGTATATCATGTAAAGGTTTATAACTTATCTTAAAAAACAGATTCCTCCTACCTAGTTCCACATTTTACAATTGTAGTAGATTTAATTAAATCATCTTTGTAATACTTCCAATCATGTGACTAATACGTTTTAATGAACTATTGTCAGTGTATAATCGTAATAACAGGAAGAATAATTTTCTTTTTACCTTTTAAGAATAAAATATGTAGAGCAGCTGATTTCATTTATCGATATCACTGTTTTAATCAAATTAATGTTTGTTTGTTTGTTTGTTTTTCACATATTTTATTTCATTTATAGACACAATCTGGTAGTCCATCAGAGGGTATATTACAAAGTGGTGATGAGATTTTATCAATTAATGGAGAAAATGCACGAATTTTAAGTCATGAAGAAGCAACACAAAAAATTCGTTCTGCTGGTACTGATCTACAATTAACTGTAGCAAGGTAAATATTGATGAATAATATACACCATACATTGGTTGTTACTTTTTGTTTTAGAAATTACTGTGCTAAATTGTCCAGACTTCATGTGAAAAGTTATACTGAACTGGGGTATACCATATTAAATTACCCTTAAATAAATATGTAAATATAATGGTTAGAATACACATAGAAATCAGGTAAATATCTTGTGGGAAAATTAGCAGAACAAAAAAAGTTTCTTCAGATGCATTCATTCATTATAGTTACGTAGTCGCAGATCAATATTAAAATAACAACAATGAATGACTTGTACTTAGTTGATATTTTTAAGGAATGAAATAAGTCTAGGTCTCATAGAAAACTAAGAAATAGATGGTGGTTGTTCTGTCCACGTATGGAACTCCTAAGCGGTGGCAATTCACGGAGAAGACATCATCAATAACACTAAAAAGTTGTTGCGTTTTAAGGTGAATTGATTAAGATTTGGAAGTGTAAACTATTGAATCCTACCTGAACAGTCAAGAAAAAAAAAACTAAATGAAATGTAAAGGTCTTGGACTGATTTTACGGTGAGATACTTGTCGCATACCGATGAAGAGTCCCATAAACGGATGGAACAACTATCTAGTGTCCATTGTTTTAAGCGAGACCTCAAATAATGTCAATCCTTCACGAAAAGCACCTGCAAGTTGAAGTGATTTCTACCTAAACCTCTCAACAAAACCATAATTTTGTCAAAATAAATGTAGTTATAACACTGAAGTGAATAATCGTAAACCGGTTGATAAAAAATCTTTTGTGGCTACAGCAAACAAAAAAATCAAACAAAAACTTCTTATACACACAAATTAAGGTTCCAAATTGTGAATGACTAAAGCCTTTATGATAGTGAATGCGTCTAAGTATTAACTCTAAGATTTTGTAAGTGATTTTTATTGATAAATCTACACGTGAATTCTCTACTGAATCTGACACATGCTACGGAATAGAAAAATGCAATAAATCTTGATTGCCGTTCACTAAATCAAAGTTCTTCATAAGAAAGCAGATGAACTAACGTTTAAATACGGAAATGGTCGGTTATGAAAACTTATCCTTCCTTCAGCAACATTAATATTGATAAGTATATTTTGTCAATCCTGAATAACACATGGTTATTCAAGGGAACTTTGTAATGTATTTTTGTTACCACAACTCACAACCACACTAATATCTTAACGAATATAAATAAATTATAGTAATAGTGCATTGTTTATGTATAGACTTATAATTCCAATTAAAACGAAGAAACACGAAATTCATGTTGGAAGATCTTGTTTCAATGAAGTTGTTATCAAGCTGTACAGTCGTACATGTTTATTCAATTTTTAAGTATTGATTCCATGAGGAGATACGAACAGTAGATGAATATGATGATGAAATAGGAAGATTACGATATTAGGTTATATGGTGTCAGTCGATTGACATTTTGCAAATAAAGAATTTACTGTATGGTTCTCAGATTTTACTAAGATGTTCTGTAGTTTTGTGTTGAAATACATTTGATTGTCCTCACTTGTGTTCTCGTTCGTTACACTATGACCAGTAATCCATTTAAACAGTTAAACCAGAATTAAATTATCAGAATGAAGATTTATGGAGACTGTGGTAATTTTAATTGTTGAATTCATGAGTCAATCTAAGCTAAACTACCATTGAAAACCTGAATGTACTGGACTGCCGTTTCGTCCTAGTATGAGACTCCTCAGCACTGCACATTCACGATTCCGCACGCGGGACTGAATTTGTTTGGTTAAAGTTCACTGTCATTGAACTAGGAATTGTATCTGTCTCATACTTATGTTAAAATATGTACACTAAGCAGAATTCTGTTAGTGTTATATCTTTTAATAAGTCATATCATTCAATGTTAGCTATGCGTTGAAAGTACATTGTTTACTTGATATAATCTTGTAGAAATTGGTCATAATGAGTTTCTATGTCGGCCTCACCAGTTTACAAAGATAATCTAATTTCCGTAACAGGTAAATATAAATCTAAACGTGACTATTCTGTATAATTTTATATAATCCATCGACCAGAACACCTTGGCTACAACGATTCCCAATAGTGTTAAAACATGCGTTGCAGTACGAATTGTTAGGGAATATCATGTTTTAGAAATGTTAATAAGCATATGACACTAGTACGGAAGAAAGTGAACTGTTTTTTGTTGTAGTGAATTATGTTATGTAGGTTGATGTAGTAATTAATCATAGTGTGGTTTACCATGTGAATTTATACAATTCATACATTTAACAGATAGGCTAGACAAACAGGGAAACAACACAATCATATTAATACAAAAAAATTTATATGGATAAAAGATAGTCAACAATCATTCGAATGTGTACGAAATAATAAATGAGATCAAGACAACACATTTAATAATCACATGAGTTTTTAGCCTTATATCAGTTTAGATAACAAATGGGACTATGTAGGTGTATAACCTAAGTGTGTTATAATCTAATTCATTAAGTTCAGTTGTCCATTAATGACGTAACCATGAATACAAAATATTTCTTAATTAAATTATCTATATTAAGCAACAATGAAATTAAAATTAATTCAAAGGATTTATCAAATATAAATATATAATATCTTGAACCGTTCGTCTTTCAACTCCTTTTTCTGACTGGTATCTAACATAATGATACGTAGGAAAAGTACCTTATGTTTACAGTTTCACTGATGTAATCATATGTGGTTTAAAAACTAAAAGTCCATCATCTTATCTAATTTAATACATAACCAAATATTATACTGATTTTTAATTGTTACATTTTCCATTTGATAAAGTGAAAACGATATCAATCATTGATTTTGTTTGCATACTATTGACATTTAAACGACTATATTTGAAAATCATATAGTACTGTAACCTAGACTGATGGTCACATTGCAACTCGGTTGATAGAATCCTATCTGTGCTAAGAAGGACCTGACTCATATGACATTGATAACTACTTAGTGATCAAGCAATTATAAATACGTCTTAGTCCTACAGGAAGTTAATCGCGGCCCGGATAGCTCAGTGGTAACATCTCTGACTGTGGAGCTTGGCGACAAGGGACTGGATCCTCTAGGGAGCATCATTTCCGTTACCATGACAGGTACACCTTAGTGGTTCCAAATACTACGGAACCTATGTTCAGGGTTTCCTGTTGATTACCTCCAACCACTACCTTATATAAAATATTGTATATGTATTTCATTTCAAGTTTTAGTAAAATTCTTGCGATTCTATCTAATAGGCATGAATATTCTATTGAATCATTCTAACCAGTTCCAGTTGTTGATATTTAAAATTTCAAACGATTTAGTCATTATTTACTTGCTTACGCCTGTTAGCCCTCGTGGAGCATAGGCCGCCGATCAGGTTTCTCCAACCAACTCTATCCTGGGCTCTACTTTCCATTTTTGGCAAGTATCGTTCGTTCTTTTGATGTCTTCCTCCAGTTCCCGGGGAAATATATATTTTGGTCTGCCTTTTTTCCTTTTGCATTAGGAATTCGAAGTTAGGGTGTGTTTTGTGATGCAGTTTGATAATTTCCGCAATATGTGTCCTATCTTTGAATGTCTTGTAAATGAATGTTATACAATACGTTCACTTAACTCATTCAATTCATTTTAACAGCATCAAGTTGATAGTAAACAGACCACGAATAAGAGAAATGCTAGTTAGTGGAAAAATCATGTCAACAAAGAGTACAAAAGGAATATTTTCTTTTTTTTATGTATAAGATTTAACTAAAATTAGTATAAATTAGTTAAAGACTATTTTACAGGCTGCATTTCTACTTTGGCATTCTTTTAAATATTGGCTTGGAGTATAATTTAGAATTTATGTTCCAACCTACGTAGCACTCATCACCATATAGTCTCTGTATTTAACTGTTTATATTCATTTGGAGATTCGTTTCTAAAACATGGTGTTTTAAACTTCAAAATAGTGTCAATCAAACTATCAACTCTCGAATACTTTCATTTACCCAAAGGGCAAGATATTTTTAGTATATTCGCATTATCGCCGGCTGCAGAACTCAAGACACATATTATGTTGTATTTGGAACTTGTCGGCTGAACGGGCCTACATCCTAGTGTTCATATTAGCACTGAGACCCGAACCAAAATGCTAGTGCTTTATTCATTTAGATACTAATTTTATATAGACACTTACTTGTTCAATGATTATGTTGCTTACCTGTAATGGTTCGTGTTATCCAGTTATTAGCATTTAGTACCATATTTTGATAAATATTTCTTGACACCTGGGAATTCTAAGTATAAACATTGATAGTGATAGTCTGTTACAAGTCTTAGTACAGATAGAATCACAAATTCCACTGCTTACAACTATACAACTAAGATATAGCCTTAAACAAAATAGCAGTATCATTGTGTTACACTCACAACGCCGACAGTGAATAGTGAAAATTCTATTTTGAATATCAACAACTGTTGAATTCAAACCTGTGCGCATAAATCATGATATTTATATCAAGGCATCCTAGTTCACGATGATCAGATGTTAATAAAAACTAATCAGCTCAGCCTTATATACCGAAAATCATGTAATATACACTCAAAAATCACTGTATACGTTAAATTACATCTAATCGTAAAAGATTTACATGATGACTGCCTTTCTCCAGTATTCGATTACAGAAAATTCTAATCTTTAAGGAACTTTGTAAAATCTTAACAGCAGTATGATTTTTTTAAAATCACACTTTCATTTTAGGATGTAAAACTATCTCTTTTCCAAGATTTAACTTTTCTTACTGTTACTATATAGATCATACAAAATATTTACTAAAGGTTAAATTTATTGTCATAACATGTTAAACAGAAATTTGACATTGATGGAGATTATTCAACAACCATGAATTATTTCTGTTATAACGCTCGGCTTCACTTCGTCTAATGTTATAACGGTTGGGTTTACATGTTTACACGTATGAGACGTTAATTTACCTTAAAGTAATATCTATACTAGATTCCCTCCCAGTGTCTATTCTACAAGACGTCAATATAACTCAGATCAAGAACACGTGATTAGCCAGACCACCAAAAACCCGACACAATCCAACAACAATGAATAATCAAATAATACGTGAGTAATAATAATAAGGATAGGGGAATATATAACTTATCTGACACTTGTTAGACTATCTACATATCTGACTAAACAGACAACCAATCATTATCATTCATGCCCACACATCAATTTCTATCGTCGATACTTCTTCAAGACTATTTTAAAGTATTAATGAGATTACTTTCTAATGAATTGAAAATATTATTATTAACTTCTTCAATTTAATTTTAAAACAGAAAATCATTATTCAAACAGTAATTAATTAAACCATTAACTCTATTGATGGGTATATGATTATTCCGTTTATTTAAACGAGAGGAACTGAAATTGAACTGTTTATCTCCTTCTGTTTAATTTCAAGCAAACTTTTAAGTGTAAGTTAAGTGTCGACTAGATAGTATAAATTTGACGATTATAAATAAAAGATTACTGTATTTTTTTTAGAAAATAAGAGCCTTTTAAAGTTTGAAGATAGTTTATATTCTAGACTGAGGTTAACTAGATAACTAATCAATATCAAAGGCTGCTTTATCTTATTATGGGACTGTTTACCAATATCCCTCTACGTTATTTTTTTTTGAATGCCAGCTTAATAGCATTTGACATATAAAGGAAGTGGCCTCATCATGAGATTTAATTGTTCCAGTTTCGATGCCTAATAATGTTTAAGTTGCATACTGTTGAGAAATCGTACTCTACATTGCCTTTTCGATTTCAATATTTCACTAACTAAAGTCAGTCCGTTAGGTAAATCATTCTATATTTTGTTATCCAGCACCCAAATTCAATTAAATTATCGATTTATTCAAATCTTAGATAATTTTGTTATGTTTTTTATAATTACTTAATCTTTGGTTTCTTCTTTCTGTAAAATTTTTAGAAGACAAACATGTGATCTAAGTGATATTCGACCTAAAGGATTACTGAAATTCATAGCTCCACAGAACAACAGACGTTAATTCTTCGACTACTGATGTAATCATTCTTGGTTTCAACTTATAAATATTCTTTTCTTTGATCTTCTTTTGTCTATTTCTTCAAATGATCTATTACTGTATATCACAGAATAACATAGATAAATGATAGTTTGAGTTGTCTTTATTTTTTGTCACTAGTGTTGAGAATCATTGGTCATTGCATTTATTGTTGTTAGTTTGTATTGGTATGTGTTTTGTGTGTTTATGTGTCTTATTTCTGTTATGACAACAAAAACTACTGAAAATATGCAAAAACCAAACTTGTTAATACGAGTATAAAATACATGTATTAGATTTAACATATCTTATTATCAGAAGGGGGGTTTGTGGAGATTTTATTAATTTAATGGATGAATTCATGAGTCAATTAAAGCTAGATCACCGTGGAAAACCAACATCGGTAAAAAGGTTGGTAATTGATTAGTCGGATAAAGGAATAACACAATGAGTCAGCTAACGGAATTTCCCAGAAGTTTTCTTAAGTCGCTGACTGGTAAAAAAAAATTATGGACATTTTCCGCCTTTATAGAATTTCTCTCGAACAACAGATTTACTCACCAATGTTTGACTGACCTACTAATCAGTATATATTTAAACAATCTAAACAAAATGTAAAAATTCTGTGGTTGTTGTCTAGCAACACTTTTCATCTGACTAGGACATCTAGTTTTTGATCTGTCCGATAGACACTTTTCTATAGGAGCTTTTTCATGTTTTATGTAGTTGAAGTTAGTTTTTTCAAGTATACAACTCTAACGGTTTATTAACCTTAAGAGTAGTTCTGTTATGTTTTGTGTTAAAGTGTAGTCTTTTCAAATGAGGTATACATTTTAGTGAAATTATGATATTTTGAAGTGATGACAGAACTTTGTTAAATTATATATCACTGATTATAAATCTATTCACAATTGCATCAGACATCAGAGCAGTTTTAAAAATTTTATGGTTTGATACCTTGAATCCTACACAGTATGGTCACTTTAAAATGAATATTGAACCCAACTTTTAATCCGGAAACAAAATATCCTCTACTATAGATTATGACCTTAAACTGATGGGAATTAAAGTTAAAAAGTTTCAAATTTGACAACCACCTGTTGTTAATAAATTATAGCAATCAACAAATATAAGTAGTTTTTCTAAATTAATTCTTAGATATCATCGATAAGTTCATAACCATCATTAGTTTTGAGTTTTTGATACTGTTCTACAATGTTCGTTTTTTTTTAATCCAACACCTGTTGTAATGCAAGTGTTCATTTACGATAAAGATAATACCGTATGTTTTGTCACTACAGCTTTATTACTGTATCATTAACGTGTTAGGTAACTTTCAACCAAGATTCAAGAACAATATCACTTCGAACGGCGAACAAAACGATCTAGTTAAAATATATTCTTTTTTGAACACTAGCGAACGTATTCTGAACTCATCAAAATACAATAACCCGGATTCATAAAATGAAATGTTTTTTTTTAATTCACAGTTTGTCAAGAATTTCAACCAATGACAGCCATTGACAACTACTCCGTCAATGACATATTACATGTCGTGTAACTGACTATATGATTAGAGAGGCCAGATTTTAAAAGCTTAATAAATTTAAAGTCCATTCCTTACTCAGTTGAGTAGGTAGCTTTTCAGATTGATCAGTTATTGAAATCTAAAATGTTGCCCAATCATTAAAACACAATTAGAATTCACTTAAATTAGAATCGAAATTCTATCTTCTTGATTCGAGTGAATACCTTGGTAATAAGTAGCTTAACCTAACATATATTGGTCATAAATAGACTAATTGGTAATCAACTCCTACAGTTAACTACTTCATTGTTAACGAGCAGTGACTATACACATTATATTTTACGTGTGTTTATTATTATCACAACTTCATAAGTGATTATGAAAGTAATACTAAATGACTAAATAGGTAAGTAAAAACAAAGACCACAAGGTAATGATAATATTTAAAGTAAATAATTAAAAATTAATTGAAAGATGTAATTGAGGGGTTAACAGACTACAAAATATCTAATAATACAACTAGCGAACCACTGTTTGGTAACAAATCGCATATTAATAATGGTTCAGTTTGAATAAAGGGATGAGTTTTGCAATTGTGCACAAATGTAGAAACTCAAAGAAATGCAGATGAGAAAGGGTAACAAAAAGAATATTGTTACCAACTCTGTTACAGCCTATATCGATGGTGGAATCAAGGAAAGAGGATATGCACAAATTTCTTTTAAAAAAAACAGTTTTAAGTAGTGGATATAGACTTCTATGATTTGGCAGTATATAAAAGATATGGTACATTTGATGGAATATAGAGAACAACCCTAAAAGTTTCTTTCAAGTCTACTTGGTTTCCTTTGTCAAATAAATGATTAAGAATAAAGCCAGTCAGACGGAGCACAAACGACCGTTTATTGAAATCCAGTCTAACACAGCCTGCTCTGTTTTAGAACTTAATCCCATACCTACACCAGCGATGTCACGAGAAGTAGAAGCAGAGACCCTAGATACTCAAAGGGTAAATCATTCCGGTCCTTTATATTGACAAGGTGAAGCCAAATGAGTGACCTACACCCTGTATGTACGTTTAGGAGACGCAGCATATACCGATGGCGCGAGATTCTAGAGTCCTAGCTAAAGAGAACTGTTCTCCTATCTGACACATTAAAATCTCCAACATGCAGTTTAGAGCTCGGTTTCAAGAGACCAGGAATAACATTTCTTGAACCCAAATTATTAGCATTGGTAGCGTCTGGTGTTGAAGATAAATGGAAAGGGTTAGTCGTGGGGATGGAAGAAATATTAAGAGGCGAGGAAGGGATTCGATCATTAACAGGATAATTTCGGGTGCCGATAGAGGTTGAAGGGGATTATTACTTACAAGGTTGCCCGCACGTTGAGAGGATATTTCTTCTTGAGCAACCTAACGAAGAAGCCGAGTCAGCGGCGATCTTGGCGACCTTAGAGCATGATTACAGAGCCCAAGGAACAACTGATTAAGGCCGTCACGAACAGCTTTTTTGTGGGGAGTTTTTGATGTATTAGCTCTGCACTTCCAAAGGTCTTACTGCAGGGAACGGAAATCCGTGAGGTAAGGTGATGTGTGAAATTTTTAGAACCGACGTTCTCTGACCCCTTCCGTCCGTAGTAAGAAAGTGGAATCTCTGCAGATGCTGGTTGTCTGAGGGAAGTACCTTACCGCCGTCACAACCCTGTACGGTCATAAGTACGACTTCGCCCTCGGTCCTAAAGTTGCTCCTTTTAGTCTAACCGTTCTTCAGCCGACCTGCCTGGTATGACAGGACCTAAAGGAACATATGTTCAAGACAATATAAGCCGATCGAATCATCACGATAGGCAAGCCCGACCACCATGTCAAGGTAGCAGCTACGGTTAAAAAGAATAGACTAATTAATTGTCTATTATTTTTTTGGCCAATTATGCGGGATCTTGTTCAGAAATACGATAATGGCCCGTCTAAAATTTCAGCGACCGACTTCTTTTGTGAAATCAGTCATACAGAACTCACAGCATATTGATGTATTGAATCAGGTTTTGGTGGCCCTGAATCCGATTTCACTTAAATCGTATAAATGATCATCAACAAGTGATAGCTGTCAAAATATACATGTCACCAATTATATACGAGGATTGGCGACAATTATATTTTGACAGCGATCACTCGTTAACGACCATTCATACTGTTTAGGTGGAGTCAGATTCAAGGCCTTTAAAGTGGTGAGCCCGCCAACGACGAACCTAACGCAGCAAACCACGTCGATGAAGAACCTTCTGCATCCCATACCTTTGGTGAACAAACTCAGTGAAGCCAGCTCAGTAGATAAATTACGCTGTTTTCCAATGTACGATCAAATCAGAGAGAGATCACAGCATCACTAAAGTGGTAGGCTTGACTCAAACTAAACACACCCTGCAAATCTACTTAGACGGTGAATATCTTTAACTCTACACGTCCAATAAAAGAATGAAGTGGCTGACAAAATCGACGAGCAACTCAAATAGCTCAATTTTTAATCCGACGCATTCAGCGAGGCCAGCACAGCAGCGACATGGACATGCTTATGTAGTATTGTTATATCGATAATCTATCCTCGTGTCAAATCTTATTGATCTATTTGACAGATCGTTCCATTATGATTGTAACAATCATATTCTTATTATCACATTACTGTCATATCATAACCAAATGTGGATTTATTATTGTTGTCCGTGTTGACATTAAATTATGATATTTACATAAACATATCGCGTCAACCTCACCACTTTAGTATCTTTGGAATATCTAACTCCAGTTCGATTCTATTATGATTGTTATTGATTTATACATTTTGTCAATCCTCGAATATTTTGTCGACTTGAATAGCGCTGGTGAGTAACAGAATGAAGATAAGTCAAATACGAGAATGAAGTTTTAAATACGTATATTTTGTTCAATCGTTGATCAGAAAAGGCAATCCGAGAGGTGGAGAGAAGGAAGCGGAGACAGAGAAACGAAACGGATTGATACGCACTGGAGACTACATGTGAGCCAACTCTTCTTTGTTTCCTTCTCTCCGTCTCTCGGATTGTCTGTTCTGATCAATGATTGAACAAGATATACGTATTTAAAACCTCATTCTCGTATTTGACTTATTTTAATTCTGTTATTCACCAACGCAATTCAAGTCGATAAAATATTCGAGGATTGACAATATGTATAAATCAATAACAAACATAATACGATCGAAGTGGAGTCAGATATTCCATGGCCACTAAAAGGTCAATTTAAATGCTTCTATGATAACATTAAAAAAGTATACCATTTTGTTTTCATGTAGTTAGATGTTTGACATTAACCTAGAAAATGTACTTTTATTTTTTTTTCTTTTGTGATCTATAAACAATCGACTTTTAATTCCATCTATTAGTTTTTTTTTATTCATGCACTTATGCACAAACTTTTGCC